CTTTTCTTTGGGCTTCATTTATTTGTTTTACTGTTTGCTTATTATTAAGGCTGGGTAGAAAGAAATTAATGCATCTAGTCTAACCTTTTTATCCTTGCAGTTCATGGGGGCAGTTGATTTTAACTCCATCTTTTCAATTTTATTGATTTAAACTTCTAAATAAGATCTTGATGTTTTGGAACGTTTCTGGTAATGATATAGGTACAAATTGCAGCTAAGTTATTCTTAAGTTGACACTTCTTTATAACTTTTTATTTCGATGAACATTATACTAACAAAAGTGAAAAGGCTCAAAAGAGAAACAGACAGAAATAAGATTTTTGTTGATAATCAGATTGATTAGGTTTTGGTTGTTATATTAATGATGTTTTTTTTTTGTTTGTTTTTCTTTTGAGGATAAGGGTTTGATTTGAGTTCAAATGAGGAAGTTTGGTAGATTTTTATGTTTATTTATTTATTTATTTTTTTATGGAACTTAGTGGATGAATGGACCAAAAGTTGGTTCTGAATTAAAAATGTTTGGCTTAATATATGTTTTTTTTTTTTTAATAATTATGATTTTTGTTTCATGGATCTTATAACTTTAACCTTTTTTACCCCAGGGAAGTTCCATAAAAATTAAAAGTTGTGGAACTTTACACTGAAATTTAATGTTTTTGGTATATATTTTTAACCGTGAATTCGATTCTCGCAAATTTTTCGAGAGGAATCTCCACTAAAACAAATGGAAAATGGAATAGGTGGTGGAGATGGAGACTCGATCCTCAAAAATTTTCTGAGGGAAATCCCTACCTCAATTTCCGTTAAAATAAATGGAAAATTTCATAGGGATGGAGAATGGAATAAATGGCGGGGAAGGCTTCCTTGTCCCTGCCCCACCCTGTGGACCTCTCTAGTCGACATCGTGGATGTAAATATCTTGCATGTTATGAATGTCAATTTTTATTCTCTATCTCCGTTTATTCTTTCTATTACATATTATTATTTTTTTTTTTTATTTTGTAGCTAATGATTTAGATAATTATAATATAATAAGCTGCACATGTTCTAAAAACTTTTTATTAAAATAAATAAATAAATAAAAAGTAATGGACACATTTTTATTAAAAATTGAAATTATTGGAAAGTTTAAAAGTAGAAAAAAGTAGCAAATGAAATAAAGAAAACCTAATTTCCCCTTTCACAAATCATTCCATATAATCTGTAATTAACATTTATTTATTTATATGAAATCCAAAATTTAAGAACTAAAATTGGTATGTGATGAGTTATAAATGGTGTGAAGTGATGGTTGTCTACTTTTGCGTTGGACCATAGGAAACACAAGTCATCCCATAACATAGTCCACTCACATTCTTTTAAGCATCTTATTTTTAATTCCTCAAATTACATCCAATAGGGATTTTTCAATACTTTTTCAAACTTTAAATTAATTGAGTTCTTATGTCCAGATTTCATCTACACCTTCAAATCTTAGGATAGCATTCAATTATGTTCGTATTTACTCATGAAACTCATCGGGATAATCCAAACCCAAGTTGTGGATTTGCTCCCTAAATTGGTTTGAACAATGTTCCGGTCCTTGTTGAGGAATTCGAAGTCGATTTCATCTTGGGATTTGTTGATAGACCTTGAAGAGTGAGTTCGAGGCTATTCGTATGAAGATTGGTGAGTCAATAGACGACTTTGTCATGAAGTTGACGACGATCGTTGTCGGCATTTGTTCCTTAGACAACAAGGTGGAGGACATCTTCGTCGTCGAGAAGTTCCTTTGAGTTGTCCCTTCGAGATTCATGTAGATTGTTACCTCCATCGAGCAACTTTGTGACCTCAAGAATATGTCAATTGAAGAGGTTGTTGGTCGTTCTAAGGTCCATGAGGAGAGATTTCGTGACTACGACGATAGAAAGGAGGAGAAGCATCTCTTACTCATACACGAGGAGTGGCTCGCACGGAAGGAAAGATGCAACAAATTATTCCTTTTCAGGTACAAAGGATATGACAACCACAACAAGAAAAGTAAAGGTCATGGGTGTGGCCGCAGTCATGGCCACAGATGTGCGACAGAGGAGGTTGTGACAAAACCTCACAAACCCATGATAATGCCAACTCCTAGAAGGATAACATCATAATCAAGTGCTACGCTTGTGAAAAATACGAGTATTATGCGGTGGAGTGCCGCAACCAGGAGCACAATGAGGAGCAAGCCTCACATTCACGAGTGATGAAGAGCCTGCATTGATGTTGGCTGAGAAAATGTCCAACTAGTTGATGCTCAAAGAGGAAGAGAAGGTTATAGTGAACCTCCTTACATATAGAGAAGACCAACATATGGTACCCAAACAACGGAGTGAGCAACCACATGACTAGAGATCGATCAAAATTCAAGAAGCTTGATAAGAAGTTCATCAAAAACATGAAGTTTTACGACAGATTAATTGTACCGATACTTGGATGTTAGGTCTAATTCTTTTCCATTCTTCTAAAACTTAGCCCCCACTATGATTATCAAATTTTTAGGGGATTTCCTACCGTGATTAACCACTAGAATGCATCCTAGATCGTCACTTGAGAAATTAGAATATCTTTTATAACTTTATAATTCTTGTTTTTATGTTCCAGTCAGAGCAAGAAAAACTTTATAAAAGGCTCGTAGATTCGAATCACTAGAACATAAGAAGTAGACCTTGCTAGACCTGTTTTTCCATATTCCACATTCCATAGAGTATATATTTATTTATTTAAAATCGATTTTTAATTGATATTCGAATTGTTTAGAATCATAGTATTGTAATTTCCATGTACCGTTTGCAGCTATGTACAATGCTTCTAAAGTGTTCATGATGGCAACCGAAACAAATACTTTGAATATTGAGTCACACAAATACTTACAATTTACCATGCAAAAACCTACATGACACAAGATTCAAATCAAGATTTGAAATCCAAATTTGGCACCACTCTGACATCTCCTACGTCTCTTATGAATGGTCATGTTAGTTACTCCTCACTTCTAAGAGTGAAGTATCGTTATGAAAATTATTTTTATCTATCAAAAATTGAAATAGACTTATTTTATACGGAAGGAAGTGAAATAAATTAATTATATTTAATTTTTAAAATATAATATGTAGGATTAATTTTTCAATGGGACATACTGTTTATTTGTAATTCACTCCATCTCTTATTTAATTTACGTTGATTAACCAAAATAATATAATATATTTATTTAATTATAATAAATGATCTAAAATTAAATAATATAATAAAATGGTTTAAATTACTTTATTTACATACAGTTTTAATACTATTTTACATTAAATTAAACAGTTCTCTGATAAAATTACTTCGTCTCGATTTAATTTGTTTTAATTTATTGTCTAAACATTATATATATTACATGAATAGCGAGCCGACACTGAACGCCGTCACATCAACGTTGTTCGAAGCCCGAGGGCGTGTTCCCACGCGTCTAGATCCACGCGCCCCCCCGTAGACGTGGACGTGTTTCTAAAGTCTCTCGGGTTGCTATCAGTACGCTTGTAGGCAGCTTTTTATTTGCCCCATCATTTTCCGTATTTTAAAAAACCCCCCAATCATTTTCTTAATTATAAAACGACGCCCACGATTTTAACTTTTTCTCTAAATTTTCATATTTCTTTAAATATTTTGAACCAACTAAAAATTTTGGTGAGATTAGATTAATAATTCAAGCCAACCTAATAAAGTTTCAAATCTAGCCCTCTGTTTTTGGGTTGAGTTAGTTTTTCGGGTTGAATTTCTTTTAATTATTTAAAAAATTCCTACTTATTCATAACAATGTTACATTAATAATTAAAATTTTATAAAACTCAAATATTAGGCACTCACAAGTCATAATGTATCACTAATATCAGTTACAAACGTCAAATATTTTTAATTTTCGTAATAATTTTAATATTATGGTATAATTGAATTGGATTATAAAAAGAAAATGTCGGGTCGTCTATTTTTTTTTTAAATAATATGAATTTCTAGGCATAATGACTATATATATATAATTTGTAAATAATTATTTATCTAAAAAAGTATATTCACATAAAAAAAAACGAATAAATATATTTTGGTCAAAGTTTTGACAAAACAGCCCCTTGATACTTGTCCTAGTTTAAAAGTCAAAAACCGGTGGCAATTTCGAAAATTTCAAAATGCTCAAGGACCCAGCCGTAATTTCACAGTCACCACTTCACGCTTTCCGAAAATTTATCTTCTCACACGTGGGTCGAGAAAAAGAAACGTAAACACAATTACAGAAGTCGTTTCAAAATGTGCCACGTCATCACTTTCCAAAGCATATTCAAATTTCATCTCAACGGTTAGATTCTCTGCAACAATGTCCATTCTCCACCGTCCGATCCTGAATCACATTCCATATTTGACATCTTATGATCAATCCACCGTCCGATCCTCAATCGCGTTCTACATTTAACATCTCCATTCCCTTTTCCCAAACAACTCCAACCCTCTCTTTCGCTCTCCACAAACCAACCTGAGAAGAAGACACGAAGCTTCCACTTCAAACAGAGAGATTCATTGAACTTTGATTCTTAAACGTGTGTTGTTGTTTGTACCCACATCTCTCTTTCGTCCGTTACTTTGTTTTTTTAAAAAAATTTGAATCTTTTTTACCGTTTTGTGTTCGAGAAATTAAATTTTGTTTCTGGGTTTCTTCCAATTTCTTGTCACTGCGCCAGATTCAAAGTTACTGCAAAGATCATTACAGTTTTCGGTGTCTTTAAGGTTAGTTCTTGATGCTTTTGCTCTGTTTCTCTGTTTCATTCATGCGATGTGAGGTTTTTCCAAATGGGTTTCTGCAGAAATGTCATTTTAATGGCTTTGAATGCCTTTGAAGCTCGATTATGTTACTTTTCTACGGATTATTTCATGGGTTTTACTGAATTTTCCAAGAACAAATAGATTGTGACCCTTTCCCCTACCTTCTCTTCAAAGGAAAGCCTCTCTCTCTCCTCTTTCTCTCTCTTAAATGGGGCTAAAACTGTAAATATTGCTAAGTTAGCAGCTGACCCTTTTCCTCAAGAAAACGAGGGCCGTTGGATTTTGATCATTTGCAGTCCACCGTCGGGCAAAGATTAGAAATTTTGTGGGATTTTAGCAGTGTCGGCTGTTTTCTGTTGGAGGGATTTGTGGGGGCTTTCTTTGATTCTTCCATGCTCTTCTCTTTATGCTTTGTCCATTTGGCTTTTGTTTTGTTTTTTGTTGCCTAACTTTAAAGTAATTTCACAAATAATTTATAATTTCCTTGTTTATGATTGCAACTGCTCCACTTCCTTTGCCCCATTTCCACACATCTGAGTTTCCTTTTTGTTTTGAGTTTCCCAGATCAGAATTATGGTGGAAGAGGGAGGTGTTGATCGGGGTTCCGGTGGGGCGGCGGCGGCGGCGGAGCCACTTGAATTGTGGCTGTTGCAAGCTCAGAAGCTTGTTCCTCTGGCTCTGGAGAAGGCTATGGAGGTTAAGGTGTTTCCTGGGAGGTGGAAGATGATTGTTTCGAAGCTCGAGCAGCTCCCTTCGCGGTTGTCGGATTTGTCGAGCCATCCATGTTTTTCGAAGAATGCTCTTTGTAAGGAACAATTGCAGGCTGTTTTGAAGACATTGAAGGAAGCCATTGAATTGGCTGAGCTCTGTCTTGGGGAGAAATTCGAAGGCAAGCTAAAAATGCAGAGTGATCTCGACTCGTTGTCTGGGAAATTGGATTTGAATTTGCGCGATTGTGGCCTTTTGATTAAGACGGGCGTGCTCGGTGAGGCTACTTTGCCTCTGTCCGTGTCGGGGTGTTCGTCGCAGTGGGAGTCTACTGACTATAGCAGCATAAAGGAACTGCTTGCTAGGCTGCAGATTGGTCACATGGAATCGAAACACCGAGCGCTTGATAGCCTTGTCGAGATTCTGAAAGAGGATGACGATAATGTTTTGTCGATCTTTGGTCGGAATAACGTTGCTGCTTTAGTACAATTGCTCACTGCAACGTCTCCGTGTATTAGGGAGAAGGCGATCACCGTAATTTGCTTGCTAGCGGAGTCGGGAAGTTGCGAAAATTGGCTTGTTTCGGAGGGTGTTTTGCCATCTCTGATAAGGCTTATTGAGTCTGGTAGTGCTGTAGGTAAAGAAAAGGCTGTTATTTCGTTGCAAAGATTGTCGATGTCAGCTGAAACTGCTCGTGCGATAGTTGGGCACGGCGGGGTTCGACCGCTTATCGAACTATGCAAGACCGGTGATTCTGTAACGCAGGCTGCTGCTGCTTGTACATTGAAGAACATATCGGTCGTGCCCGAGGTTCGACAAACGCTGGCTGAAGAAGGAATCATAAGGGTGATGATCAAGCTTGTGGATTGTGGAATTCTGTTGGGATCAAAAGAATATGCAGCTGAATGCCTGCAGAATCTCACTGCTAGCAACGATGCGCTAAGGAAAGCGGTCGTCTCCGAAGGCGGTCTCCGCTGCATATTGACATATCTCGACGGCCCTCTCCCTCAAGAATCAGCTGTTGGGGCATTGAGGAATCTAGTGAACTCAGTATCAAAGGAAGTTCTGTTATCGCTCGGCTTCCTCCCCCGTCTAGTACACGTGCTAAAATCGGGATCACTCGGCGCACAGCAGGCTGCAGCATCAGCAATCTGCAGGGTATGCAACTCACCAGAGATGAAGAAGCTAATAGGCGAAGCGGAATGCATTCCACTTCTCATCAAACTCCTCGAGGCTAAATCGAACAGCGTTCGAGAAGTGTCGACACAGGCAATGTCAAGCCTCATGACACTTTCACAGAACTGCAGAGAAGTCAAAAGAGACGAAAAGAGTGTCCCTAATCTAGTGCAACTGCTGGATCCAAGCCCCCACAACACAGCGAAGAAGTACGCGGTCGCATGCCTCGGGTTGCTGTCTTCGAGCAGGAAATGCAAGAGGCTGATGATATCATACGGCGCGATCGGGTATCTAAAGAAACTATCGGAGATGGACACGCCGGGAGCGAAGAAGCTGCTGGATAAACTGGAAAAGGGAAAGCTAAGGAGCTTGTTCAGTAGGAAATGAGATGAGATTTGAAGAGCCTTTTGGATGTTAAGTTTCATAAGCTAAATGAAACAATAATGTAGTTTCCACTCTCTCATGAACTCTTTGCCTAAGTGTATGAATATAGTTTCCTTGTATGTTATGGATTTTGAGGTCTAAATCTATTATATTTCTTGTATTTATCCAACATTATCTTAATTTAATTGAAATTAATATGAAAATATTGTTGTAATTTTTATATTTGATTGAAAATATGTATGTACGTACTATAATAATAAGTAGTTGAACTATCTCTTAGGATCACTCAGACGACTATGGGACCCCTTCTTCGTTTTTGGGAGCCTTACAATGAAATTCATGACCATATCCTCCTATTTCCATTAGGGTATATTTATAGGTTGAAGCAAACTTGAGAGCCTTTACCGATTATTGAGAATGAGTCTCACATTGGCTAATTTAGGGAATGATCACGGGTTTATAAGTGAGAAATATTATCTCCATTGGTATGAGACCTTTTGGGGAAGCCCAAAGCAAAGCTTCCTAACATGGTATGGGAGCCATGCCCTAAACTTAGCCATGTCAATAGAATCCTCAAATATCGAACAAAGAATAGTGAGTCTCGAAGGTGTAGTCAAAAGTGACTAAAGTGTCGAACAAAGGGGTGTACTTTGTTCGAGGGCTCCAGAGAAAAGAGTCGAACCTCGATTAAGGGGAGGCTATTCGAGAGCTCCATAAGCCTCGAGGGGAGGTTTATAGTGTACTTTGTTGGAGGGGAGGATTGTTGAGGATTATTGGGAGTGAGTCCCACATTGGCTAATTTAGGGAATGATCATCGGTTTATAAGTGAGGAATACTATCTCCATTGGAATGAGACATTTTGGAGGAACCTCAAAGCAAAGCCGAGAGCTTATGCTCAAAGTAGACAATAACATAATTTTCGTGTTACCTTGGCGCACCGTATTCAATGAGTCATTAGCCTCCTTTAGTATCTCTTTCTTGATATCTTCATCAGTAGGGATGCATAATCGTCCACACCATAAGGGGTCGTCGTCGGACGATAATGGAAACTCTTCTACTTAGACTGTCTCATCCTATTACTAGACTCGTTACACACGTGGATCCTACCTCTGAGCAAAAATAATCAATTTTCTTTGCTATGAGTTGGGTAGTTGCACTCATATTGGTTGAACCATGGAGTACCATGAGCATAGGCACCACGAGCCATCTATGCTTAAGCTCCATGAAACTCGGTTCACAAGCTTGGTTTAAACAATTTAGATCAAATACATATTTTATTAAATTGGAAAGTAAAGCCTCAGTTGCTTACAAAAATGGTAGAACCATTCAAAAGTATACAGAGGATAAACACCAATATTTGTTGAATTACGAGTTTGAATTTGGATTTGGATTTGGATTTGGATTTGAATCATGTCCTCGTTGGAAGGTGTGCCAACAAATTCTCCTTATCATTATCAACGGTCACGATCATTTTGATCTTGTGTGCCAAAAGAACTGTTGTGAGATGGCCAAACGGGGGATTTAACGTCGTCGCTACCAACCCTGCGCCATTTTGGAGGAACAAGAAACGACAACGAATCGCTTACGCCCTGTTATGGAGAAATATAGATAAACGTTGTTTTGCTTCCTTCTTTGGAATTGCTAACTCCGAGGCTCCTTCTCTTTCTATCTCTTCATTCATTTCTCTACCAGGCCGATTCAACTGGGGTTGCGGCGTAAGATTTTTCATTTCGGCGGGTCGTATTTGCTGAAACCGACTCCCCTGATCTGGGTTTGTGATTAGGTACCCAATTAAATTAATCGCTCTGACCGTTTTCTTCTCTTGATTGTTTCAATTTTGTGATGTTTTTATGTGCTTCTGCTTGTTCTGTTGTTCTAGGGATTGGTTTGACTCGCACTTGGTGTGGGGGTTTTGTTCTTTTAATGTTTTCTCGATTTGTGAATTGTGGGGTTTTGCCTCTTGGGATTTTAATTGCTTTGTTAATGGAAGTTTTGAAGTCAATTCTGTGATGGATTGGGTAGCGTCGTCTTCATATGCTTGGCTAAGTAGCTCACGATCAGCCTTAGTTTTGGGGACCGATTGGCAATCTCATAGGGCTGCTGCTATCTCGTATTTGTTTGGTTACTTCTTTCTCTTGGTACTTTGTGAGCGCTTGTTTGCTGGTGGTTTGTTCCTTTTGAATTGTTTGTTTTTTTGATTCCGAGTTTACTTTTTCCCTTTTGATAATCGAGGTATAGGTCCCACTCCTTGGATTATCTGCAATTCATCCTGGAGAGACAATCAGGGTTTAAAGTTTTTCAAATTTCAATCTGGGCCTCTTGCTGGGAGTTTATGTGGAATGTTTAGATGTTTGGTCTTTTACTTGACTGGAGCTCTCTTTTATTGTTTGGCTCCTTTTGGTATGCTTTGTTTTGTATATCTTGTATGGAAAAAGTATAGGATGGGGCCTTACCCTTCGCCTATCTTGTTAGATTAATAGGTATATGCTGAAATTAAGAGATTCAATGTCTTTGGTTGAAGAACATACAAGATTTCTGGATTTCTCATGAGTTTGTTTCATTTATTAACCTATACATGCCCTCAAGAACCATTTAATTGAACTTAAGAAGAAGGTTCATATTAGTTAGCAGACAACCAAATTCACTGGTCGTTCCAACGTAATACGTTTCTCATCGTTTGAATCTAATGTTCTCTGTCACCAAGTGTTATGGGAATCGCAAGAAATCTAGATGGCTTTGTAATGACTTTGTTCTTCTCTTTGCGATTACTTGCTTAATTTTGTTTGTTTCGTGTCGTTTAATTATATTGATTCCCTTACTTTTTTCCGTTTGTTCGATTCATGATGTCTTGCTGCATTTTGACTTTGAAGGTGCGTAGTTTTGAAAGATGAGTAAGCTGGATGCGACCCGAGCAGAACTTGCTCTTCTAGTTCTGTATTTGAATAAAGCAGAAGCTAGAGACAAAATATGTAGAGCTATACAGTACGGTTCCAAATTCTTGAGTAACGGCGAGCCTGGTACGGCACAGAATGTTGACAAAACTACCAGCTTAGCTCGAAAAGTTTTCCGTCTTTTCAAGGTCTGCCTTTAAAGACTGTTCTTTCTTGGGATATTAGTTCATGATCAGTGTGTGAGGCATTTACTTGATCTTCTCATGTTGGTTCCAAGATCTTATAATTGGTTTATGTATGTTTTTTTCATGCTTTTAGTTTTGGTTTACAGTTTGTGAATGATCTGCACGCTCTTATTAGTCCAACCCCTCAAGGAACTCCCCTTCCTCTTGTTCTGCTCGGAAAGGTATCAGAATGGCCATTTTTTATTTTCTTATCAATCATCAATGGTAGCTTTTCTGAGTTCTACTTGCTCGTGTTTCCAGTCCAAAAATGCATTGCTATCGACTTTTCTATTCCTCGACCAAATCGTTTGGCTCGGTAGAACAGGCATCTACAAAGTATGGCGGTTTCTTTCTTCAATTTCGATGCTATATTTATGAATTTCAACACTTGAGTCTGATTTCTTATGTGTTATGTCTACAAACAGAATAAGGAACGCACTGATCGTATTGGAAGGATTTCTTTGTTCTGTTGGATGGGCGCGTCATTCTGTACCGTGTTAGTTGAGGTATGTTCATTTGACTTGTAAATGATTCAATAATTCGAGTTTTGAAGTTTTCTGTTCTTACAATGTCAGCTTGGAGAGATCGGAAGGCTATCCGCTGCAATGAAGAAGCTGGAGAAGGATCTTAAGGAGAAGAATAACAATCAACAGGAAGTGTGTTATCATCAAGTGTGTAATCAGTTGTCAAATAAATCATTGATCCTTATTTATATACATTAGTATTTACTTCGATTCGTTTTTGCGAGCGTAGGACGATAAATACCGTGCAAATCTTAAAAAATCAAATGAAAGGACCTTGGCCCTGGTTAAAGCATCCATGGATTTACTCGTCGCTGTTGGACTACTTCAGTTGGCACCGAAGAAAGTCACTCCACGTGTCACGGGCGCTTTAGGATTTGTTAGCTCACTGATCTCTTGCTATCAGGTATGCCTAAATTATAGATTGTTCCTTAAAGATACAAATCATGTGTAGAATTATGGAGGGGTGGATCATGTCTCGAGATCGGTCGGTTTTAACATTTGATGGATGACGCATGTGCAGTTGCTTCCTCCGCCATCGAAACTGAAGGCGTCGTGAAGAAGGAAGGGGAGATGCCTCAGGAGTGGATGAATGGAAGGTGATTTGAATGAAATAACCAGTTGAATTTGTGTGTTGTTATAATGGAATATGGTGTTTTTTTTATGTAGTCTGCAGTCCCCTTAGAAGGGTAGGGTGACCTTGAAATGTCTCTTTGATAACATTATTCCCTTAAAATAAATAGATGCTGTTGTTCTTTTGCGTCCTTAAACTTTCATTTATAGGGATGTCAGCGACGTGGTCAACTCACGCAATCGTCGACCTCTTACTAGGAGATTCCTGGTGTGAAATTCATTATCTTATATTCCTGTCATTTTGTTTCATTTTTTTATCTCTATAAAAAAAATTTATTTATTTTACGTAAAAGAAATTTCATTGTTTATTATTCTTACAAAAAAAAACTTTTTTTTATTTTTCCATATAAACTATTAATGGGTGATGGTTCAAATTATTATTATTATTATTATTTGTAAATTGACATGATTTTTCAAATCTAAAAAAAGAGGACAAAAGAAAATAAATGGTTTATTTATTTATTTATAAATTAATAGTTGAATAAAGAATTAATGCAACTAAAAACTCAAGACAGGTTAAATTTTACTAAAAATATTTATATAATTAAATTTTACTGATCCATTGTCACATCAATTATAATAAATGGTAATCATATGCATTTTAATTTTCATCTTATTTGTAAGAAAAGAAAAAAAAAAACTCCAATTGTATCTTTTTAATTCATTATTTTATCTCTCTGTATTTTTTTATAAATTGAAAAATTCTATTGAATTTGTTATATACTAATGATTTATTATTTAATTTTTTAAATGAATTATTATCATTAGATAGCACATACAAAATAAATTTGATATATATTTAAAAAACATATATTACTTTTTTAGTTCATGTAGTTTTATTTCCCTATGTTATTATTATTTATGGATGCTAAATAAATTATTCAAATATTTATTAATTGATGTAATTTTGAAAATATTTAAAGATATTTAGTTGATTATAAAAAGATGAGATGAGACTAATTAGTTCAACTAAAGAGCCAACAATTCCCTCTCACCCACTTCAAGAAATAAACGGCTACAATAACAAGAATCTTTCCCTCCGGCCATACTCCGGCGAAACTCCGGTGTAATCGACAAACGAACATGTGGGAAGGCGGATCCAGTAGAAACCTCGACATCACTTTTCAAGAATGCAATTCTATGATCCCTTACCTACCATTCTTGATGGGCAACCAATTCGACATTCAAGCCTACGCCGACAAATACCCGACTAGAACCAAGATCATACGCCTCCTAGCCCTCGCCCATCACTGCCACGGCCGCAACGACGATCGAGAAATAGAAGCGCTCAAAATCGCCTATAAAGAGGCCAAGAAGGGCAAGGACGTGCAACTATTCGCCACAGTCATCGAGAAAATCAATGGAAGATTATACCCAGAGTACGACATGGATGAAGATTGGTGCAATGAAGTGATAAGAAACTGGGAGGAGAATAGGGTGAGATTAGGAGAAGAGGCATCGAAATGCCAGGTATGAACGAACGAACGAACAGATTAATAAAAATAATGGGTTTGATCCATCGATGCTTATTTGTTATAAATGAATTAACGTAGGACGATTACGAGAAAGGATTGGCTTACGCGGAGGACGACACAAAAGCTGCATGCAAGAAGGCAGCAAATATGTTCTACATGCATGGGGAAGCAGATGCTGCTAGAGTATGGTACTTGGCTGCCATACGTTACTGCAGGGTTGAGGTGGAGTATTGGGAGATGTTCATGCGCTTTGTTTTGTTGTTCATCGAGTGGGGCAACTTTCCAAGAGCCCAATACACTGCCATTGAAGGCCTCAAGCATAAGCACGATTTCAACATGGACTCCTTTACTGAAAATACTCTCCATTCTACCATTGGCTTGACTTCCATTAGATATAGATCGTTTACGCACGCCGCGCTTCGGGTTTGGTTTTTTGTTTTTGGTTTTTTTGTTTCTTTTGTTTTATGTTATCGGGTTGTGTTTATATGTGGCGTATTTGTAGTTCTTGCAAACGGGTAAAGAAGTGGGTAACCAATTTTCGATGATTCTGGCTGATCATGATATTGCAACGTATGGTGCGTTGTGTACACTTGCAACGTTTGAGCAAGAGGAGTTGCAGGTATCGATTTTAATGGTGGTATGCACGAAGAATGATATGAGCTGATTATCGGGTTTTTAATATGGGCAGGATTGTATTTTTGAGAATAAGGATTTTCAATCTTATTTGGATTCAATGATTGAAGTCAAAGAGCTTCTCCATGATTTCTGCTCAAGGTCAGTATCGGTGTACAAAAAGTCTGTATCCTTCTTTATCTCTAAAAACAGGGTGTTCTAAACACTCGAGCTATTCCATCCCCGTCGTCCATGGAACCCGTTCTAAATTATCCACCTTTTGTGAGATTATTTCTGAAGTAATCATAAAAAACAGTTTATGTTAGGAACCACGACCTCCTCCATAATAGTATGATATTGTCCACTTCGAACATAAACTGTCGTGATTTTGCTTTTGGTTTCCCCTAGAGACCTCGGAGATAGTATTCCTTATAAACCCATGATTTTCTTATTAATTAGCCGACGTGGGACTACTTCTCTCAATAATTGAAACTTTTTAAAGTCGGGAGTGAAATTATTATTATTATTTTTTACCTTTTTGTGCAGAGATTATTCTTCAGTCTTCCGACATCTTGCTAATCTTCGAGAATGGTTATTGTTCGACATACATTTATTCGATCGATTCGAGGAATTGCATGAAAAAATAAGAAAAAAAGCTATTGTCCAATACGTTCGACCATTTTCGGTGATTGATTTGAAGACGATGGCAGAGATTTTCAACACAAGCGTTGAAGATCTTAAGAAGGAACTTGTAACTTTGATACTTGATGACCAAATTAAGGTCTTGGATTTTGAAGCTCACATCTCAGCTTTCTAAAATTTTGGTCATTTCTTGTTACTAATCTTCAACAATCTTTTGTGTTGCAGGCCAAGATTGACTCAATTGAAAACGTTCTTCACGTACGAACAGACGATACCATAGCCAATTTCAAAAAACTTCTAGAACGTTGTAGTGAAATTGAACGTGATGCGAGGACCATTCTATTATTTAACGCAGTATTTAACTATCCATTAGTTCGCAACGAAGAATGATTTGTTTCATGAGATGATAGAAAGTCTTGAAATTTCTTGACATAGTTCATGTGATGACGATCTGTATGGAAGGACAAATTTGTTGATGCCTCGACATCGTTTTTGAATCTCCTTTTTTAGTTCATTTCACTCCGTTGGTGCTGTTAGGTATGAAAATTTGAAAATTGAAGTCGTTCATGGTTCAAACTCAATATTGAACTTCACTTCATGTATCGGAGTAATCCTGACAATTAATTAAAAAATACGCCGAGGAACTCCAATCTTTGTGTCTCTAACATCAATCATATTATAGCCCAATAGCTTTAAAAGTATCTTGCTATATCGGATTTGTTTATTTGGCTTCAATTTAATGACTTGTAATTAATTTCTAACGTGAATCAAACATAAATGATATTGAGTCGTCTAGTCTAATAATCAATAATAGATAGGCTAAACCAAATAGCCATGGAATAGTGTTCCATTTTTAAATAGAATCAGCTCTTAACTTGGTCCAATTTTTTACGAACAAAAGGAGGTTGAACGATCGAAAAAGTAAGTCTCACGTGCCTACACGTGCACTCCTCCAAAGAATCATTTAAATAGTGCCCTGTTCAAGATTTTTGGGAAGGAGTCCTACGTTAGCTAATTTAATCTTGTACGCTTAATACCTCTAGCAACGTTGATTTTCATCGCCGACGAAACGTGGGTTTCAGAAATTGTAGAATTTAATAGATCTATGTTATATGTGTTTGAAAGATTGTGATACGTCGTGGAAGTGAAGAGGAGAGAGCAACAAAGGAATACAGGAGATGAAGAGCGACGGAAAATGTCGTCGGAGATGGTTCCAGGAAGAGAGAGGACATTGTCAGAATTTCGCGAGGAAAACGGGTAAAGAAGACGAAGTCCGTGGATCTCGAGTCGATCTGGATCGGGTATCCAATCGGCGATCCAATACCGCAGCCATCTGTCTGCAGCCCTAATACCCTCGCAGCCTGAAACCAAATTCGTTACCTCGGCCCAAACGTATGCAGCTCGAAGTCAAGCCCACACTGTCTTGGCCCAGACCTACAGCAGCCCGACACTGGCTGGCGACCCGCGCCTCGACTCAACTCGACATGCACACGCGTCAGTGCCCCGTTGTGTCACATGTCACACCTACAACTAAACAGCCCCTCGACTCATATGACTTAAACAGCTCGGCTCGACTTCGCGGCTCCGAAATCAGCTTCTCAACTCGGTAAATGAAATCAGCTTCTCAACTCGATAAAGGACAATTTGACCAATTTGACCAATTTTCACTTTTTCGCCCATCCCAAAGTTGATTTTGACGTGTACTCAAATTCAGGAAAACGTCATCAACCAAGTTAGTGGTGGTCTTACAATGGATAGACTGGACAATGGTTTGATGTATGACGACACGTGCCTAGTGGCCCCTGAACGAGTCATTTATGCTTTATACTTATGATGCTTTGATGATGACATATGATGACGTGAATGAATTATATGATGATGCCTTATGATGTTTTACGATGATTATAATGTGTTATTTGATGACATTGTATGAGGATGACGATGCAAGATGGGAGTTTTCTTAATATAGCATTATTTTCTATATTAAGATGAGATGTCATGTTGCATTACGACGACGATGAGACGACGATTTTTCTAGGGCATAACCCTAATTAAGGTTAATGAATGAATGAAGACAAATGCACATATATTACTGGAAGTAATATAAAAACAGAAGTTAGGGTTGTGTCAAAAGACAATTTCAAAGATGAGAAACCATAGGGACCTCATGCATTTCTATGTATACATAAACATCAGGCTACTTCCTCTTTTACGATGATGAGTATGGATGCAATATGCTACGAGGCATGACACTCAAGAGGATGCTGACTCGACTATGATGTGTTGAGGGGGTGAATTGCCTAGGAATTCACGCTCGTACGTGTGAGTTGTGTGTAGGGAAGAACTATCCATCTAATTTAGTACCAAATGAAAATGTTAGTAACTACAAATTGTATTTTGATGAGTATAAAAGAAGTGATTTGAATTGAAGGGTTGTCAAGGGTTTTGAGGATGCTCGGAATAATGATAGCGCCCGTGTTTCCTCTAGTGAACGCCGTCTCCCCTCTGACACAAATAGCAACGCAAGCCGACGTGGACATATCGCCGGTGAGCTTCACCCTAACAGTGTCCCAATACTTCCCTCGCTTCCTTACAGTGCTTCAACTGACCCCTCACTTCTTCGCATCCTTCTTAGTGACTCAGAATCTGAACGCCAGAATTTGCCTCGACTCATTCCACACCACATTGATATCCGCCCATCAGCTCTCCGCCGTCTCCATCAACCTCGTCGAGGTTTCCCGCTGCCTCCTTCTCGCCCATGAGAATACCGGTAAACACACCCTCTTTCTTTCTTTATCTATCAAGATTTTGATATTGATTTCTTGCTCCCTTTTTAGATACTGAGCTTCTCGAGCGCAAGATGCTCGAATTGCTGCCTCCAGAACACAACGATGATCTTGGCGACATTGACTTCACCAACTGTGTTTCTATTCATTTAAGGGATTTTAGACGCATTGTTCATCAAGAGCTCTCTGTGTCCTACCGAGATCGAGGTAACCCATTTCTTTCCTTCTCTTTTTTTCTAATTTAGGGGATGACTGTGGGTTGGGTTTATAAGTAAGGAAGAGGGAGTCCCAGATTGATTTAAGGGATGATCATGGGTTGGGTTTATAAGTAACCAATACGTTTCTATTGGTATGAGGTGCTTTGGGTTGAGGTGTTTTGGGAAAGCCCAAAGCAAAATCACGTGAGCTTATGCTTAAAGTGGACAATAACATACTAATATAGAGGGTCGTTACTCCTAACATTAAGCTTGTTACAGTTTGCATTACCACATCGGAGTCTCAAATCAAGCTATCCGTCGGCGACAAAAAGACCATTCTTACTCGAGAGGTATGAGAAAATTTGGTGTAAGATTCGAAAGGGTTGGAACTGAAAAGAGGGTAATAATGTATGTGGTGGTGCAGAGAGGAGAATATGTGAATATCAATCCTCAAGAAGGAGTCGAGACTCGATTTGAATTCAGTATCCATCCCACTTCGTTTTTCAATAATCTGACTGATAAATCCAGAAGGGTTTGGTTCTTGAAGACTACTAATTCCTTCAGTATAATTTGCGTTCCTTTTGCATGTTGTGGTTGCTATTTGATGTATTTTCCCCCATGTTCTTGAACAGTGTTGATATTGTTTGAATGTTTTCTTCTGATTCGTTGATATCAAAGGGATTGCAAATATATGGTGTCAATTTTCTTGTACAGAAAGAATTAGATTAAGTCGACCCTTTACGAGCCGTATATAATTCTCTATTTTATGAATCAGGGAGAACTAATTATTACCAAAGAAAGCAGCAGATAGATGGTGCTAGTTTTCTCCAAACCATGAATAAAGATTTATTTGTTGAAGTTCATATAATATCTTAATCATTCCCAATTATGAATAAAAGCTACAAAAGTTCTTCATAGTCATACAGATAAAATTTCATACCTTCTGCTTAGGCTCTCGGAATTTCTTATAAAAATATGGCTCGACACTGCTCTACGGTATCATCGGGGCTAATAACTGCAAAAAANAAAAAAAAAAAAAAAAAAAAAAAATATCACCCTGATTTAGGAATATGCAAGTAACAAAAAGAAAAGGAAAAAGGAATAAACAAACAGAAGCAAATTTGCTAGTAATACTGAAGGGAGCAGACCTTTGTGGCCTATAGTTCGTTCAGATTCATAAATTTCATGATCATTTCCTCCCTGTTCAAAAACAAATGCAACAGGATTATGTCATTAACACCAAAATAAAAAATTCAGTTGGAGCACTGAAAAGACAACATTTTCCAGTCAATTTGAATGAACTCATAAGCATTCGGGCACGCAATATCAAATATGAACACGAGTCACAAGACCCTGAAGAGATGACAACCAAACAACAAAGAAGGAAAAACCAATCAAAACTAAGCTGGAAGAAAATTGTCGACAAGAATTCTAACAATAACCTTGTAAGTTTTATCGCCAAAGAAGTGGATTTCTTGAAAGTCTTCAAGATACCTCAAGCAATATGTCTTGTCCCAACCTTGAGGAAAGACCTGTATTTGATAATTAGCATGGTCGAAATAGATATCAGTCGTGCTGTTTACTTATTTACGATGATAATGCTGAAATTAAACTTTACTTACATCAAAGCTTATTTGCCCTCCAATGGAGAATGTCAAATTCAGATGTGCAAATTTCTCCCTAAGAATAGAGACCATTTTGGGGCGTATATTCTGGACCTGAATGTAGATTGCAAGATATATCTCAACTCATGTCCTCAAAATAAAAATGCGAGTTAAAACCAGAGATGCTGACACGACTTCCGAAAAATTGGGATTAGTGTTCACCTTATCATACTTCTCAAATTCATCTCTTTCTTCTTGGCTGCAGTTTCGCCCAATTGGTGAGACATTAAGCATTCCATTTCGGAACTCTATAAATGTTCCCCTAAAGATGAAAGAAGATAACAATCTGAAATATATCATCTGAAATCAGATACACAAGAAAAAATTTCAAGGCTCCAGCCCACTAACCTTTTTATAGGGATATCCAAGTCAGCAATATAATGAAGCGTAAAGTTGATAAGATTCTGCATTTTTTGGCATTAGATCAGTTCAGAATACCAATGCTCTATCAGCTACTTTTCATGAGAACAAATAGGATGCGAAGTTTATGGATTTCTCATTACATTGAATCACAAGGTAATTATCTTTTCAAACGCTTGATGTTATTACTTTTTTTTGTAAGGATAATGAATACTTATATTTGCATGAGATAAACTGACCATAAGACTTTGACAAATGTACCTTGCAGCTCAATTCCCGTGCAATATCTAGCTTCCAACTACTTTCTAATCATTTTTTCCTTACCTTCAACGACAATCCTACTGACTCTCACTCTCACTTCCCACCATCTCTGCCACTACTATTACTTTAGTGATTTCTTCAGACAAATTCTCCCACTCCACATGCACAGCTTCTTTCATCTTCCTAACTCCCTTTCTACCCTGCTTTTCCCCTTTCTAGAATAGTTGAACCTTATTTAGTGGCCTATCAATAGCATATGCAACATTTCATTTAACTTTATGAGGACATGCTATATCTCTCGAAATTTCACAATTAGTTCAATCAATGATCGGTTGTGACATATGAGAACAGGTAATTGTGCACAAAGGTACTAATCTAATGGCCTCAAACATGCAGACTACCTGCAATCATTCCTTTTGTCCCAGTCAGGAGATGCCCTGGTTACCCCGAGAATGGTTCATAAATAAATGGAACAATGGGAGAAAGGTTCATAAATAGATGGAACAATGGGAAAAAAAAGAATAAGTTATATATTACCTTGAGATTTTCTTCTCCAATATGAGATTTCAAGCTCTGCACAGATGGAATGGACATACAATCACAAAAAAAATGGATCAAGTACAGAAAATAAAGTAACATAAGAATATATTATAAGGGTTTCAAATGAAAGTTGGTCAAGCTCAAATAAGCAGGGAAGTAGTCAAAGAACTGCAGTTTCAAATAGAGTAAATCAGCACCTGCGACATTATAAATCTTAAAAGAAAAATGTTGTCATTCATAAGTTTTCCGTTCTTTCACCTGAGACATGTTTTTCTTTATTCATTTAATGTGAGATCATTGAACTACCATGAAGGAATGAAGAGGAAGCATCTAAGTAAACAATGGCTTTGAAAATCAGGAAACCTTGATATAGAAATATAATATAACGAAAATATTTACTTAATTAATTCCTAACCATGGTCTTTCTTATCAAAAACTGTTATTCAGCCAATCCTTCTTGTTCAGTGAGAGGTCAAATAGCATGATTGGATTTATCAGAAAGTCGATATCCATTGAAATGAGGGAACAATTGACAGATTTATGCTCTTGAGATCACTTGGTCCCAAAAAGATACACAAATTCATGCACACATGTACAGTTATATTGAACATCAGAGTAACATTAAAAGGCCATCATCACCCATCAGACATCTAACTAATTGTATAAAATCTAGATCGAGATGCAACCAGTACCTGGGTGCCAATGAGCTTCCCATCTTTATGTGCCACAAGTCCATTCTCAGAGAACACATAATCATAGTCATTAATAACTACATAACAAGCATAGATTATTAGATTATATTACAATCACAAACATTCTCTATTTAATGCTCTGCACAAGCTTATGAAAAAGAAAAACAGTAAAACGAAAACTTGGAAGAGCAGACAAAAATGAGGAAGATTACCAATATTCTAAATCAAGCAAAGACCATGGACAGAACATCATAATCAAGGAACAAGATAAATGAGTGCATATATAAAATTTCTAAGCGACAAATACTGAACACATTGTTTCGTTTGACAGTTGGCACACAATAAATCAGTTGCTCCAAGTAACTTGCCATGAAAGAAAAGAATCAAAGTCCATTAAAAACTTGCCTGAATTTCCAAGCTGTTCTGAGATCTTTGAAAGGTCAGATCCTCCCACAACACCAACTGTAACAACCTGTAGTATTTATAAAGATGAGAAAACTTCAATAGATTTCGAGCTTACAGGGAGAAAATAAAAAAGAAGAAAGAAGAAAAATGTTCTGCATAGATGCTTCTTTTCATTGCAGTAAATCCGATACCTTTCGGAGCTCTTCCATAAATTTGAACATCTGTGGAGTAGCACCCTGAAATTTAACAAAAATTTTCCTTCAAAAAGATACTCCACACAAACAATATGGAACAAAGTATCATATAACGATGACTGAATACTGATACGATAACATTCATCATCCAACAGATCAACTAACATCAGGAAACATATTTTTCTTTACCTTTCTGGGAGCTGTTAGAGTTCCATCGACATCGAATAAAGCAATGACTCCAGGTCTCCTCACAGCCATTAGACTCGATATCTTTCCTTCTGCCAACAGAAACAACATTCGCTATTACAACCTGATCGAATATCTTCAGATCGCTTTTGGTAGAAACATAAACCCAGAATTCATTGCTTAAACAAGATCAGCATTACAATTTTATAGAACTCAAATCTCCAAAAACCACAGGGGAATTATAACTCGCAGCAAAACACTAAGGCCTAGGCAGATTCATGATACAAACAGATGGTATAATATATAGAAACAGAAATGAAGCTGAATTAATTGGTCATACAAGGAGAAAACGAAAAGGCAATGTAAGAAATACTTGAGCTTAAAGATCGCGTCACTGAAGTGGAAGCAGATCTCAAATGGCGGAAGCTGATAGCTTCTTCGTGGAGGAATATGCGGATGAAATCTTGTGAAGTGAACTTGCGATTGAAACTTCAACGACGTGCGCTTCAGATCTGCTGCCTATTGAATAAGAAAACCGAACCGAACCGAACCGAACCGAACCGAGCCATATGGATTTGGTTGAGTTCCATTCCTCGGTCCGATTTGATTCCTTACCCACCGGGCACGACTTGCATGGAATCTTCCTCGTTTTTTCTAATCGTTGATTTTGAAAAGATTTTTCAACAAGTTTTTTCAAACAAAACTTAATGCACAAGATTAGAAAAATGAATAATATTATTTTCCACCGTTTTGTGAGGTAAGTAGGTATTTGGACCAAACCAAGACTTCACGTTGATTGAATTGGTAACCGAACCCACCCAACCTAACTCGAAATTATTTCACAACCCAACTCCAAAAGGTTACAAAGTCGCTTGAATAAGAATTTTATGATGCTCTATTGCTAACCTAGTGAATTCTACTAGGATTGTGCCTCCAACAACCAAAAGGTTACAGAGTCGCTTTGTCTCATATTTATACACCGATGGTAGAGTTAAGCTCATATGAATATTATAATTAGAACAAACTCAAATAAGCTAAATTATTTGAATCAATAGTTGATGGCAGATTAGTAGTAAATATTGAAATGGTGAGTTCAAACTCACTAAAATATGAATAAGATAATTAGACAATTATAAATCATGAGATATGCTAATTCATGCAAGCAAACTACTTATTTGAATAATTTTATACATGACGGTAACATTGGAGAGTTCGAAGCTATGAAACTATGAAGCTAAGTGTATAATTTTCAACCTCATATTTTCTAAACATTATTACCATTACCAATTATTTTGAAGATGTACCATAGAACTTGTCAATTTTGAGTATACTACCTTTTCTATTTATTCAAACTATCATAATGTATTCAATAAATTTATTCCGCTCGCTATCACGA